GTGGATCCAGCTCCCTGCTCCCCATTCCCTGCACCCCCAGCTCCCTGCTCCCCATTCCCTGCACCCCCAGCTCCCTGTGCCCCCATTCCCTGTGGGTCCAGCTCCCTGCTCCCCATTCCCTGCGGGGCGGGCCCAGGGGTCCCAGTGAGTCCCTGAACCTGAGAGGTGTTGCCACAGGAGGGTGAGGACAGCGGGGGCTGATCCAGGATCCTGGGGCTTTGTATTTACCCCCAGGATTTAACAAGAATATCCTCAACAGGTGCTATTTTACTGCCTGTCCTGTGGATGGAACGTGGGGGTGCAGAAAGCCCCAGTACCAAAAAAACTGTGGGCAGTCCCACAAGTGCTCAGGACATGTCCAAGCCTGCATAACGCAGTGGAGCCACTTTTAACCTGGTAAAGGATAATTAAGAAAGAGAACTTTTATTAGGGCAATTTCACTTTATTTTTTCCATACAGCAAGGTCAACTATAGCAGTAATAATAAAATAAGCATAAACCCAAATTGCAGCCCAGGACAGAGTACGTAACTGGAGCAACTACAAGCAAAGTAAGTCTGTGGTTACGTAAGAGCAAACCCAAGCGCCCGTCCTTCCAGCAGATGGCCCGGGGTCTGAGAGGCTCGTTAATGAATTAATTACTGATTGCTGCGAGCCCAGCCCCAGCCCGCTCCCAGCCTTGGCACGCACAGGGTGGCCGGGTTCCTGCAGCGCTTCCTGCCAGGGAACATCTCCCGGGCTGTTCTCACCTGCTGAAAGAACAGGAGCACTACAGCGAGAAAAGAATCCCCTACCTACAGCTACGGGTGCTGTTCCGTTTGCCTGTCCGTGGTTGAACTCCGTGAATGTCAGTATTCGTTTTGAAGAATCTTTTTTGTGAACAAGAAACCACTGAAATTGTCAGAAACTGGTTTGAATAGCATATATCTTTAATATATTTTGATACTTTAAACATGCAGTAGAATTTGAATAATGTACGGAATATCTGAGCCATGATTCCCTGGATGGGCTGAAGTACCTGCTTTTTTTTTTCTTTTTTTTTCTTTTTTTTTTTCCTTTTTTTTGTTTCTTAATGATTTTCAGGCAGATTTGACCCAGTGGAGCTTCTGTCAGTCATGAGATCTCAGAAGGATGGCAGATCTTTCCAGCTGAAAAAATCCTGGCAAACTACAAGCTGTCCACATAAAGCAAAGCAACTTTTTGGAAGGGGGATGGAGTGCTAACTCTGTGCCACTTTTGCAAGCAATTTTGTTCAGCCTGTCATTTTATTTAGCCTTAACAAAACTCCTTGTAATTATAGACATTTTTATTCAAAATAAGATCTTACTATTATACAGGTTTCTCTCTTTTTTGACTATATACAGAAGTGCAAAAAGTCAACCTTCGCTCTCGACGTCCCAACTGCAGCATAATCAACCCTCAAGAGTTTGCACACACACACTAGGATTCTTGTTACGTAAACTTTGAGTATTTGGATTATCAACAAAAAGTCCCTTGATCTATTGATTATGCAGCTTATTTATAACAAGGCCTGATATTCAGGGATTTCAAAAAATATTTAAACAATATTTTAACATTTGAAATGGATACAGTAGAAAATAAATTTTATTCTAATATCTAGGAACTAGATTTTTTTTTTCTCATAATAACTAATTACAAACAAAATAAATCATCAAAATATTACTCAATTGTCTGCCAGGATTGTTGCCATAGCAACAACTTAACTTCTTACTTAGCAATGATTATATAATTATAAGATATCCATATAAAAGATCTTTGTTCTTTGAATGAAAACTAGACAAGAACTAACAATGACTGACATTCTTACATTGTCGTATTAGATCAGTAAAATAGAAATCATTTAGTTAACAATAATACGAATACTCATAAGACACTACATATAGATTCCAAACTGAGTATGTTATGAAGAAAACTACTTTTTTTTTTTTTGTATTTTGAAAAAGCCATCAGTAAACTCTAATAAAACAAAATTCTATGAACTGAAATGGTATCAACTGATAATAGAAAATGAAAACGAGCTAATAAATGTAAGAAAACTACACTTTTAACAAGAAAAAAATAAGTAAATTCTCTATGGTAAGTCACTACAATAACATGTGAAGTCACCTATACTTTCTTAACACGATTGAAATTACATTGGTATGGGTTTTAACCCGTAATGTAATAATCTAAGGCTTTAATAGATGTACAGTACAATCAGGAAAATCAACACATCATTCTTGTCTATAAAGCATCTCTCTCAAGCATAAAAACTCGCAGTAAACTCGGAGTATGGCGAGTTCTACAACTGAACCCGCGCCTCTCCCTCCCTGCCCACCTGGGGCCTGGCCCCAGGCAGCCCCTGGCTGAACAGAGCAAAAATATCCTTTACTGGCTGCAACATCCAAACCACAAAAAGGAATTCCTTTGGATGAATCCATTCTTAGAACTTGAATGCACATCTATTTGTTTGTTTTTATTTTGTAAAGGCTTTCTAAGGCTATAAGCAGTTAATCTGAACAAAAAAAAAATCACATATAAAACTCACCCGAGTATTAACCCACCCAATTTCTACACTAACGTCTCATTTGTCCTATTTTGGTTTGTCATGCATCTGCTGTCAGTGCTTCTGCGTCTTTGTTTAGAGTCGCCGCGGACGCGGGACTTGATGAATTAAAGTGAAACCCATCTCTGCAAAGCATTTATAGTCCTTGTGACTCCTGACAGAGGCTATAAATAGAGCAAAAGAAGTTCCTCAAACATTTGTTACTGTGTCTCAGAAATGGCTTTTCCCTTTGCAGCTCACCTTTTACAGTAACTATGCATAAATAGGGCATACAACGCCTTGGGAGAGTTTACAGATAATGTTGTCCATAAGGGTTATGCACAGCTGGAGCATCTCTCTGGTGCTGCCCACTGGCTGTGAGGAGCAATTGGCCATTTCTGAGACAGCTTTGGTTTGAAACAGAACGGTGCCCTTTGACTGATCGGTACTCATCAAGTCAGTGAAAACGTGGTTCTGAAAATAACACTGCAGAAATAATACTCTGATGGATGTACAGTCTATGGCACTTCATGAGAATCCTTAACAACGTGGTACTTAAAGCCATTGATGTGCTTTAAAATATACACAGTTGTGGTTTTGCTTGGCACATTCATCTCTGTCAGATTCCTCTCTTCTCATTTCTTACAATCTATTACATTAAAAATATTACTCTTAAAACAAAAATTACTGTGCATGCACGCTCTCGTCTATAATGGCAATTTTAAATACAAGGTGCACCTTTGTTATTTGTAAACCTTGAAAGAAATAAACTTACTTTAAAAAATTATATCTTGGTCTACAGACGTACCAATACATAATAGATTGTGGCGCAGCATCGTCGGCCTTTCGGGCGGGCGCGGGGCTGCGGGAAAGGCGGACGGTGCTGCGGCCCGGACAGCACGATCACCTCAGCACAAATATCAATTCAATGTACAAAGGAGATAGGCAACAGTGTGCAGTGGAGTCCCACGGCCTCGCTTCGTCTCGTTAACATGCAATGTGTGATGTCACTGCTGAGGGGTTCCCAGTGCTGCTGGACAGTATTTACAAACGTTATGGCTAATGAGCTCGGCCTCTTCCCACCCAAATCGGCCTCTTCGCCGCGGATACCATCTGGGAAGGGAAGAGCACAGAGTGTTCTGGGCACAGCCAGGACGGTGTCACACACAGCAGCCCCAGCTTCACACGCGAGGCTGTGGCCCTGCAGAGCCCTCCCATCCCATCCCATCCCATCCCATCCCATCCCATCCCATCCCATCCCATCCCATCCCAGCCCA